GTTTAGTCTGGATCTTCTTTTCTTGCCTGCATCTCCTCGTTTGCACCCATCAGCTTCGGCCCTTCCCTCCGGAGCAGCAGAGGCTTGCTCTATCTTCCACGTTGGCTGCTCCTCAGATATCTGAAGATGGTGAACCTATCGTTCTTTTCTCCAGGTTGAACATTCTTCATGCCGAGGAAGCAGGTTGCAACTCAGAGGAAGCAGGTTGCATGGACGATTCGGACATTGTTGACATGGTTATCGGCCTGAACTAGTCTGCGTCTGTGTCATCCTCGTCTCACAATGGATGGAGAAGCGTGGCACGAACACACGTCCCACCAACGTGTCATCCTGAGGATCCGTGTCATGGCCCAAAGAAGGAACTTTTTTTCCAACCTCTGGGAAGCTATGGCAGAGAAGTAAAAGAGGCAGGAGAGGATGCATTTCCCCCCTTTAATAAAAGGCTATGGAAAAAATGACTGGAAGTGGAAAATATTATTGCGGATCGTGTTGCCGTTCCTGGCTGTCTGCCAAGGAGCCTGGGGAGGGCGGGGGGAGCCACGAGGAGAGGGTCACCTGGCAGAAGCCGGTTTCCTGTTCAGGGCATTTGTGTGTTTTTTATCAGTCCCTCGATGGGGAGCGTTGGCACCAAGGCCGTCCAAACCGTGAGGAAGGGTTTTTTTTGCGCTCTGGCTCGAGAAACGCCACATCAGCAGCAGCGGCAGCCCCAGCCGTGAGCCTCCGGGGCCCACGTGGTGGCTTGTAACGAAGTACAGATTGTCTCTTGGCTGCTCGCCAGAGCTCTCCCCGAGCCCCCGGGAAGCAAAGTCCTTGGGCCTAGAAAGGGAAGAAATTGGGGGCAGAGCGGTGGGGGCGAGGCGTGTCGTTGTCTGAGGCTGAGAGGAGAGAGACAGATGTCAAGTCAAAATGGGACCCCAGGCAGCTTTCCGGCAGAGGTAGAAGAACGCATCTCAAGGCGTCCGTGAGATGAGTGATTGTACAGAACCTGTCTGAAGACGATGGCTGGCTGGCTGGAGTCACGATAGCCCTCAGCAGAATGTGTAATTGCAAGAGGAATATATCTATCTACGAACCTAGATCTGGGATCAGTCAGTAAACAAATGCTTTAGCTTGGAATTGAATCCACATTCCCCCCCCCAACTCACCATGTGTTAACCCTGCAGTGGCTTGCACAAGAAGCCCTTGGACAGAAACAGTGCTCCTCGGTGACTGTTTATAGGTGCAGATTGCCCACTTCTTTCCCCCCAAATGTCAGAGAACGCAGCAGGCTTTGTACAGATCCAGGGAAATAGCTTTGGCACCGACTCCACTCCTCTTTGGGTTGGGGAGAAAACCAATTGGTTGGGAAGGCTTGGCAGCTCTCTCCAGGGATCGAGACTCAAGTAGCGGGACTGACGGTCAAGTGTCTGAAGAAAAGAAAGCTGTTCTTTGGGTGTAACCTGCCTTCCTCCCTCCCACCCCCCCAAATGCGGGGAAGGTGGGGCTCCGTCACTTCCTCTCATCACGTGCATACCCAACATGCTTTGATAATGAATAAGTAGGGCTTATGCTTCTTATAATCTGGACACATGATTCACTTTATGTCACCTACATCTGCATGAGTGGATTTTTGACGCTATGAAACTATCCTTTTACCCTCCTCAGGCTGTGCACGGGCCCTATGAATTTGCAGGCTAGTTCAAGACTTCCAGAAAGATGCCCTGGTTTGGTCTATCTCATTCGGTTTGAGCAAACTTGAGGGAAGGCTTGGCAGCTCTCTCCAGGGATCAAGACTCGAGTAGCGGGACTGGCGGTCAAGTGTCTGAAGAAAAGAAAGCTGGTTTGGTCTATCTCATTTGGTTCAAGTCCATACATTGGGATAACCAAAAGGACCAAAAGGATTACATTTTTGACGCTATGAAACTATCCTTTTACCCTCCTCAGGCTGTGCACGGGCCCTATGAATTTGCAGGCTAGTTCAAGACTTCCAGAAAGATGCCCTGGTTTGGTCTATCTCATTCGGTTTGAGCAAACTTGATCAAGTCCATACATTGGGATAACCAAAAGGATTACTCTTTTTTTCTTTTTCTTTTTCTTCTTCTTCTTCTTTTTTTTTTTTGCATTTACATATTCAAAATTTGGAGCTGCCATAGATGAAAGGTAAACCTCCCTTATTTCAGAAAAAGCACTCCAGAGGTTTCTGTACGGAGCATCTTTAGAGATTACTTCTGAAGCAGTCCCTGTCTCCCCCCCACCTCTCCCCGTTTAGCTCCATATAGGCTCTGGATGCCTGTAAGTTTGGAAATTCGCTTTTCTCCAGAACTAAATCTGGCCATTCTACTTCAGTCTGAGCCTCCTACAAATGGATCTTAATCAGACTGGTTCTGTTTGGAATCCAAGATTTAACAAAATCTAGAGGCAGCCCCACTTTAAAAATAAACATGGTTCAGGCTCCAGCGATAGCTCAGTGGTTTAAGGCATCTGGCCATGAAGCCAGAGGTTGGGAGTTCAATTCCCCCACTCCTTGACAGGGACTGGAACTCGGTGATGCAGAAGGTCCCTTCCAGCCCTGAAGTTCTAAGATGTAAAACTCAACATCTTTGTGTACTCTGTGCTGAATTTTTGCTCCTCCTGTTCAGCATCTCTTTGCCTACCTCTCCTGTACTCATGCCCCTAAAACCCAGTTTTTGGAAGTTTCTCTCTTGGTTCCTGCTGTGATTGTTTCCTGCACACCGTTGCATGTGTGCGTTCAACACCCGCTCATACACCAAAGGGCACCTGTATCGTACCCATATTGCTTCCATCTCCCTTTTCCAAGAGGGTTTTATAGCCGTCAATTAATGTAGTCCTTGCATCGTTTTTCCTGAGCGTCATTTTCCATTCCCGCTTCCTTTTCAGCATGTCTGTTTTATAAATCACTTTAATTGGCTTTATATTGCTCTTTTGATACATCTACATGGCTCCAGATCGCTTCCATTATATCTCTCCAGTCCTCAGATTGTATTTATGAATGCTGTGACATCGCTTCTCCTTTGTTTGGATATAATTTTTTACAGGATGGTACTGCCTTTGGCTTTGCTTAGATTTTTTTTAAAAAAAAGCAGTTTTTAATTAGCTGTTTACGAAGAGACACAAAGAGATAATTTTCCGATATAAAAACCCAGCCAGACCCTGCTGCTCCTCAGGACTTCCCCAAAAGAAAAGGGATCTCTAAGGAGCCCCAGAACCTGAAAGGGGGGTAGGAAGTTTTAAATTAAATGAAATTAGAGATTTCCATCAATGGCCTCTGATGTCATACTCATTGTAATGTGTGAAGTTGCCTGACAGGATTTCAGCCTCAGAGTCCAAAACAAAAGGAATTAAAACATTCCCGGCCTCTAGCAGAATTTTCTCATCCCATCCTCCTTCTCTCTCTCTTATCTTTGGTGGAAAGTGGATTCCTGCAGAAATGACTCGAAATGACTTTTGGCAAAAGTGAAAAAAGTGAAAGAAGAAAGGGCCGAATCAAGACTACAAAGACAAAAATCATGACTACACAACTTCCACATTGACAATGAGGAAACTGAAAGAGTGGAAATTACTGTATACGTTGGTTCATTCATGAATCCAAAGTGGAGATGTCAGCCAAGAAGAAATCAGGAGACTGAGACTCAAAAGGGCAGCCATGAAGGAATTAGAAAAGATCATCAAGTGTCAGGATGTTTTCGCTGAGATCATCCATACGTTTGTATTTCCAATCGCCATGTATGGGTGTGAAAGCTGGACAGTGAAAAAAAGCTGACAGGAGAAAACCTGATTCGTTTGAAATGTGGTGCTGGAGGGAAAACTCTCCCTTTAAAGACAGTCCGGGAGAAAACAAGTCATAAGAGGCTGCTTGAATCTCCTGTTGACCAAATGGGCCAGCAGCAGCAGAAGAAACACGATAAAGTCCTGGGAGCCTTACTTTCCCAGTGCCATACAATGGGCTCTTTCTGGAATCTGGGTTTTGTAAACTGGGTTTTGTAGGTCCAATCCTGCATCAGGGGGTCTCCTTCTTTAGGGATATTTGGGGTGGACCTAATTTGACTGGGTCGTTCTGAGGGCCCTTCCCTTCTGGTCATGAGATCAGGAGGAGAAGCGTTGATTTTTCAAAGATATTTGTGGTGTTTGGTGGGAGTCCAAATGCATACATTTTGGCCAGTTAGAAGCCTTGTTGCTTATTAAATCAGCAGACTCTGCTTCCTTCTTGATGGGGATTTTGGTTTCTGTGGGTTGAAAAAAATAACTGTCCCAAAATCAGAAGCAGGGGTGCTGTCCGACAAAGTACAAAGTGCTGGGAGCAATCTCCGTGGCCTTAGTGGCTGAGCAATTCTGTGGACTGTACTCCAAAAAAGGAACTTTTCCAACTTGAAGGTGTAGGAGAGCTGAAATACTGAATATGAGAATGACTAAAGAGGCTTCTTAGTTGGAGCACCTGACCTATGGGACTCCCTGACTCATGAAATCCTTCCATCTGGCTGCATCCTGATGGGGTTCCAAAATCTGCTAATTGAGGAGGTCAAGGTGATTGGCATTTGACTCGCCCAAGAATCACGAGCACAACTTTCCTTATCCTTATCCGTTTTATTTGCTGATCCAAGCGGTGAGCTTATTCTTGTCATGTCCAGAACACACCTATTGAAAACAATGGACCTGTGGTGTGTTGTTGTGAAACTAACTGGCACCAATCCCTTGTGGAGCTGTGACATTCACAATTTAAAAAAAGAGTAAAATAAACTTCGTAGCCCTGGACATCTCAGTGTGAACTCAGGACGCAAGGCAGGATGTGACCGTTTAAACAAACAAGCAAACAAAACGCTGAGAATGAACAACTAGTTTCCAAAATGGAAAAGGTCCTGTTGCCAACTTTTTTTTAAAAAAATGGATGTGCTGCTTTCTGCCAGTAGGAATGGAGCAGCTGAAGCTTTTCTGGGCCTTCAGCTGATAGTCAGGAGGAATGATTTACCCGTTCAATATCTTCACTTGGAAACATGGGAGTAGGGATGAGTTTAAAAGTGGCCGATTTGGTGACCGTACGTGGGAACAGAGTGGGGTCTGGAATCAGATAGTCAGATCCGCCTGTTGCATTATACAGTATCAGAATTGGGCCACAGTCCAGGAAATAAGAATACCTGCATGCCATCAAGTTGTTTCTGACCTATGGCCACCCTTTCCAGAATTTTCTATGTAGAGAATACACTGAAATGGTCTCTCTTTCCCTTCTTTTGGGGGGCATCCAGGAAAAGCTTACGGTGTTGCAGGACTGTTTATTGTTTTAATCATGGAAGAAGTAATTCTACCCTTGAGCCAAACCATGGAGATGACTCTTACCACCATCGGACAAGTTATACAAGTGCGAAGCTTGGCCTTCCTGGATTTTCTAGAATGCAGTTGGAATTTGGCCATATTGTATGCAAATAAAAAGCTGCTATTTATACACTGTACATATGCTGCTGCTGTTGCTGCTGCTGCTTCAGAGGACTTTGGACTCTTTTATTTTTCTTTCTTTCGGGGTTTAACTGCACATTTCTTTGGAATGTTGCAAGTATTTGCCATCCAATAAACGGATACCGGCCTGGGTAAGGAAGGGAGGGAGGGAAAGCAGATTTTTACCTTGACTTGAGACAAGTTCTTTGAAGAACTTAGCTTTGGTGGGGGAGTGGGAGAGAGAAGATGGGGGGTGAGCCCATGCTTCATGGCAACGGAAAGCCTGTTGTTAGTTAGATCCAGATGTGGAGAGAGAATGTTCCAAACTACAACACAGCCTCAAGTGGAGCAGACTAAGCAAAAAAGGACATGAACCATTTTCCTAGGTGTAAAGACCATGGGATTCTCAGAGGGCAGCTTGTAATCTGTATACTGGGCCCATCTGAAGGAGGAGAAATGCACGGAGACAAGAGGGTAGAAGCACCAAAAACAAAAAAAACCACAAACGTAGGTTTGCACTTCATTATTTCACTTGAAAGCTTGGGGGATTAGACTACATGTCCCAGAATTCCTTCAGGTATGCTGGCTGGGGGGGATACTGGGATTCATAGTCTGGAAAATAACTAAGACTGACAGCTCTGCAAACTTTTCCGTTCTACACACCACCCACTCAACAGCAGATAAGTGGTGAAGCTGTTCCTGGACTTTGCTACTTTGAGGTGAGATGCGAGACACAAGTCTCATGGGTGTCTACTCGGAAGAAAAACTCAGGATGTGACCCAATGGCAGGACAGGATCTGGCCAGATCTCACCAGAAAGGGTTCTTTTGTTGGGAGTGATCTCCCTTCACCTGATCAACTGCTGCTGGACCAAAAAGCTCCACAGATCAGAGATGGGCTGGTTTACAATCTCCTGTGTGTTGTATGACCCCCAGGAAATAGCTCACATCAGTCATGCCACAAGTGATCCAAAATGTGAGCTATTTCCTCATCTGATCACATCCTCAGTTACAAGGGTCATCCATTTGGCCCTGACCCTGGACAGCAACTTGTCCGTGTGATCTCTTGCAGCTAATTGTAGCTACTTGATGAGGTGCTGGAGTGGGAGGGTTGGTTGCATGCCTAGCCATGCACTCAACCAAGATGCACTCCAGCACCTCATCCATTAGTTGCAATTAGCCACGGTAGGTTACACAAACCTTATAGCAACACAAAAAGAATTCTCGCGGCTGGACGCCAGAAAGTCCATAGCACAGTAGAAGGAGGAGGAGAAAAAGTCAAAGAAAAGCTGTAAATGTTGAGCTTTATTCCCTCTTTTATCTTCGCAACAGTGCTGTGAGGTAGGACAGGCTACGAGACAGAATGATGGGCCCAAAATAATCCGAGGTTTCCTAGCTTAGTGAGGGCTAGAATCTTGATCTCCCAAGTTCTGGTCCAATTCCCTTACACCCCCACACCCACACCCTGGCTCTAAACAACTTTGAGATCCTTTAACTGGACTCAACGTGGGATGCTTGGCCAACAGAACATGTGTCGTGCTGATGAGTTGCAACCCCGGCAGTTTTTCCAGAGGCAGCTTCCTTCCTAGAGTGAGAAATCGGTCCCTTGCCAAGGGCGCTGCTGGCTCTGAGGGTCTCCAGCTGCTTTCGGTTCTTGCTCTTCACCTTTAAAAAAAAACGTATCCGTGGGATGGACATAAACAGGAAACAAAAGTCGGAGGGAGGTGAGGACTCGGATGGCCGCACCTGGGTGGGATCAGGAGGATTACTGAAGTTTTGTCCTGGCCCAAGTATGAGAGGGATCAGACCGTCCCAGGGGGGATCTCCTCGCTCTACTGGGGCAGCAGCACCCCTTTCCTCTGCTCAGACCACAACCCTCCCTGAATAAGTTGGTTTGTTCTTTGGCTGTGCGACTCAGGAGCAAAGAACCCGCATTTGGTGCTTCTGTGGAAAGTCTGAACAGAGTTATCGGAAGCCACTGAAGCCATGCAGGGCCTTATCGTTAGGCGCAGTGGGGCAGTCCCCACCGGCGGCACCGTCAGGTCAGACTGCAAAAGAATTGGGTTTGGCCCTGAATGGATCTTCTTGTCCCAGGAGTTGGAAGAGTCTGAGACCTGACGTCCCAGGTCAGGAACAATATCACCCTTCCAGAGAGTCTTTCCACAACCCCCTGCGAAACTCCAATGGACCCAGGCTAATTTGGTCCTTTTCCCAGGAGGGATTGTATCAGGTCAGGAACAATATCACCCTTCCAGAGGGTGATATCTGCGAAACTCCAATGGGCACAGGCTAATTTGGTCCTTTCCCC